CTTCCCCTCCCCCTGCCTCTTCAAAGAGTGACCTGCCCTCACATCACCTCCCTGTACACTTATTCCTCTCCTCCCCCACCTTCCAACACAGATACCCCCCAAGCTAAACACTGAGCTTGCCACTTGGTCAACCCCGCTACTGGTGCCCACCTTTCCACAGATTTCTGCTCTCCTCATATACTCAGCTCCCCCACAGCTGCCATGTCCACCTCCTGACATGGCTACTCTCTTACCTCTGCCCACCTTCTCACATGATTACCTCTATCCCTGCACTCACAACTATCCCCATCCCTGCACCCACCTGCTCACAGAGCTACCTCCTCCCTGACATTCATCCTCCTAAACAGCTACTTCTCCATTTCTCTACTCAGCACTCAACTCAGCACAAAGCCATGACTCCTCCCAGCATGCAGTCGCTCCATACTGAGGTACCCCTGCCCTGGTTTCCAGTGCCTGAGGGGGAGGGTTTAAGTCTTTGCACAGCTGCACCCCAACAAATACTGCAGTGGTGGGGAAGAGGTCCCTGGCTGGCCCCATCATAGATGAGCAGGGTGTGCCTTGGCCAGTGCCAAGCCATTACCTGTGTAGTCTGTGGGGCGGAAGAGCTTCAGCACAGGGTACCCAGTAATACCAAACTCAGCACTTAGAACTGTTTCCTCTGTCGCATCCACTTTGGCCAGTCTCAAGTCCAGGGATTCATTCTTCAAGATCCCAGCAGCTTGTGTGTACTCGGGGGCCAGAGCCTGGCAGTGCCCACACCAAGGGGCATCTGTGAGAAAACGGCAGGCTATGTGAAGGGGCGGAAGTGGTACTGCGAGGAAGCTCCTTTACCAGCCACCCCAAAGCTCTCTATTCAGCAGAGACAGCTTGGGCAAGGACAAGAGCAAGGATAAAGACAGGGAAACCAGATGTGAGGGCAGGAAACAGCAGTGATGAGACCACCACTCTCCTCTGCCCTCCTGCCCTCAGGTCCATCCTGAGCCTTCCTTCATTTCTGTGCCCTCCTGTGCACCCTCCCCACTGCCCAGACTTGGCACCATGGGGACCTGTCTTTCTGGGGTACTATTCACAAATGGAAAGGTGCTGGTTTTGCAGCCCTGGCTCTGAGATTCAGGCTGGGCCCTTCCCACCCCACAGCACTGGCAACCCAGTACTTCCAGTTTGTCTAGACAGGTGTCACTAACTGGGTGCCAGTAGTCATTGCTTGGATAATGATGCACCTTCTCCCGTGCAGGACTCAGGAAGTTATTCTGGGGTATTCCCAGGCATGTACTTTGCTTGCTTGTGCTGGGAGGGGAGTGCTCAGTAGCACTGCACCCTGGAAGGGAAGGACAGGACAGAACGGGAGTGTGCCTAATGGTACCCTACACCCAGCCACCAACTGTACCCCTCTAGAAGGAACCATAGGCCCTGCCACAGGCTGCAGGGTGTGACCCATTTTGTCAAATCTTAACCCTCCTGGTCTGTGAATGCCTGTTGCCTAAAATACATCCCCATGGTGCCTTTCCCCCTTGGGAACATGAGGCAAGCATGCACTGTGCCTGCTGGGTCTACACAGGCAAGCCAGACCATGGCAGAACTACAAGTAGGCATGGGTGACTTCACTCTACACCCACTGCCTCACCTCTCCAACCCTGCCCTGCCCCGCTCTGCCCTGCAGCCTCTGTAAATGACAAATCAGAGAACAGAAAGATCCTGTGCCCACCTTGCCCACCCATCCTGCACCCAAAGGAAGGGCCCTTGTAGGGACAGAACAAGCCACTGAAGTGGAGCCCCAGCAAGAAATGGCAGGGGCTACTCCCAGTGCCTAGGATAGAGGGCATGAGGATTTGGTCCTGGGTCCTTAAGGAGACTGCAAAGAGGTCTTCTCCCAGGACCAGGGGGGAATCGCACTGATCTGTTCTCAAGCCCAGGGCAAGGGGATCTCAGAGGCACCCAGGCTGTTAAAGTTTCTGGGCTCCAGGCAAAGCAGTTTCTACACATTAATTTTTAACAAGCTGGCATCTTCTCTCAGAACAAGACTCCTTTCCCACTGGAAAAACAGCACCTGAGCCACTTTCTGAAGGGCACCAATGCCCAGGGAAGCTTCCATTTGTTCCTGGAACTCAGAGAACAGATGCCTGGTGCATCAACTGCACCTAACAGGGCAAAGTGCCTGGACTGAAATGGCCATTACCACCATCCCTCACTCACCTAGAGCTGGCTGTTGGCATGCAAAGACCTGAATCCCAGAACTGTACACCTGTCTTCAGACCATGAGACCTATAAGTACCCAGGTATGCATGGCTGGACACTGCTCAGGGATACAAGATATCCAGGGCTAGTCAGTGCCAAGAACCATATGGCTGGTTAGTGCCCAGCTTTGCACCCAATAGTGCTGATGGCTTTGGGATACAGACTTCTATGATATGTATTCATTCTCCATTAACCAAGACCCTACCCCCTCCCAGTCCTGTGCTGGCCCAATGTGTGTGTGGGAGAGAGGGGGAGGGTGCCACTTACAGAACTTCACCAGGAGCAGCCTGTGCTCATGCAGGGCTCGATCGAAGTTGTGCTGATGGAGTACTAAGACATCATCTTCTTCCAAAAGCTCAGCTGAGATGACCTCCTCTTTTTCTTTCACCTCCTCCTTCTGCTGCACCTCTACCTCCTTGCCCTGGTCTTCCTCACCTTCCCCCCAGCTAGGTGCCACCCAAGCCAGCGACAGGAGCAGGACCAAGACCAGATGGGACTTAAAGTAGCCCATAGTGAAAGGGACCAGAAAACAGGTAAGTACCTATGTCAGCTGCTTGGAAAGAGAATGCCAGTGGGAGGGAGGGGACAGATAAGGCCAGAGTGGAGCGGGTGGTGCCTGGCCTATAAAGTGCGTGTCTCTTTATTACTGGCTGATCAGAGCCCCAGATATGGCAGCTGTACGGGAACGGCCAGGTGGCTGCATGACTTTTTTAGTCCCCAGGTCTCAGAACCTGGCTAGGGGACTCTGAAAGGCAAAGTCCTGGGCAGGCTGAGGCTTCCCAAGCTAGCTGTTGCTGGAAATACCCCACACTGGTGAGCATAGAACAGGCACCTTCTAGCCTACAGCAGCACAACCCTTGGCTTTGGAAGAGGGACTCCTACAACAGGTCTAGGAGAAAGGTTCAATGGCAGCAATACCCCAGCCCTGGGCAATGGGAGTGCCTATGCACCAGAGCCCTGCTCAAGTAGCATTTCCCCACAGGATTCTGGCAGGTGCCCAAGCACAGAGCTGTTCCCTAAGGTAAATGGCTAAGGCCTAATGAAAGCTGTTCAGGCTTTGTCCTACCTCAGTAGTGTCTGGGAGCAACAAGACCCGACAGGGCTGGAACTCTTGAAGTATTAGTAAACATGGTGTCATGGGGCTCATGCAGCTCTAAGGCCTGGATTGCTGTGGGTGGTAGTGGACCAGGGACTTTATTTGTAACTGGAGATGAGTGAGAGCCAGCCCCAGGCTGCAGTGGGGCTGGAGCCATGCTCCCTTTGCTCCTGCTGTCACACAACTGCAATTTGGGTCACAGTGGGCACATCTACTCAAGACAGAAACTGTGCAGTAACCGAGTAATACTGTGCAGTAGCGTGTCACAACACCAACAGCGCTAATATGCTACTGCATAGTAGCGTCACTTAAAAGACATTTGCCAGTGCTACTGTGCAGTATCTCTGCTTACTGCACATTTTAGTACTTGATTATACAAGTACTTATGCATTAGGGCTGTGCGAAATTTCGCCAGGTGTTTAGTTTTGAAGCTGTTTTGATGCGTTTTGAGCTTCAAATAGCAAAATCAAAATGAAACAAAAGGCTTTGAAAGAGCTTTGAAAGGAAATGAGGGTGCTCGAAACGTTTAGAAAGTTTTGAAACGTTTCAAATTTCAAAGCTGGGCTTACTTGGCTTCATTGCCGGTCCCAGGCAGCAGTGGCAGCAGCAGCAGCCTCCTCTCATCTGTGCTCCTCTCCTCCAGATGAGAGGATCTGCACCCTCATCCTGTGAGGGTTTGCAGGGCTGAGATGGAGAGAAGTTAATGGTAGGACCTTTGCATGCAGCCCATGGGAAGATGTTCTGAAAGATGTCCAAATATGCCTACCAGCACCAAGAAAAAAATTAATTTATCATAGTGAGGAAACGTCCCAATTCCTTACATCTGCTTTATTTCAAGGTTGAGAGGTCCCAGGATGCTTTGGGAGAGGGCAGCTGTGGATCCCCCTCCACCCACATAGTGGAGAACCCTGGGCTAAGAGTCGCAGTAAGGCACATTTCTTCAGCTTGGCTGTGGTGAGCAGAGAAAGTAGGTGCCTCAGCCAGGCCAGAGGCAGCAGGCAGCCTGATTCCCGGGCCCAGCACACCAGGGATCATAGCGCCTATGTGGCCCTCACAGCTCCATGGCCTGGATTGAACAGTGTTACATACAAAACTGGCATCAGCTTGAGACAGACAGAAAACAGCTCAGGCGAGAACACATGGGCAAGGGACAGAAATTACATATTAACCGGTATAAATGACTGGAAACCAGTTCAAATTTGTAACATAACAGAAATCCAGTGCACATAAACCACTTTCAAAATGGCCAAACCCAGTTTAAGATAAATCTGAATGGATATAGTTTCAGATTTAACTGATTTAGGTTAAATTGGTTTATTGAACTTTTGTCCCAGATCCCTTCCAGATTCAAGTTAACTCACAGTCCTCCAGCATCTCAGGATGCTTTACACCTCCCCCACAAACCCCCTTGCAGCGTGGGTGGGTTAGCCTCCGCCCAAGCTGTCTGCTCCAGCCAAGCAGGGAGGTGTGTTCCAGCAGCCCCCAGCTTCCGGCTTTGGCCACTGCAGGCATGTGGCTGCATTTCCGAAATCAAAAGTAAATGTCTGTTCACTTGCTTATTGGTTCAATCTACACAGCTTAGACTAACTTGCAAAGATTAACTTGTGACAACTGAATCAATTCAGCCTTGGGCTTTTTGACTGTATTTAGCCATGGTGTTTTGTTTAAAGCACATGGGACTTTTGGGGAAGGACACAGCTCAGTTCCCACTCCAGACAGCGCAAGCCCAGCTTTCCCAGGGGTATAGCAAAGCTGGGAGCAAGGTATGGAGTGCTCCCGAGTGCTCAGAAACCAGGAGGCCCAAAAAAAGATCTCAATGTATCCTCAAAAGAAACAATTTTAAAGTCACTCTTCAGATTCTAGGACTTACCCTGCACTTTCTGAACACTCAGGTTGGCACTACTAAAAATGGCCCCACCAGCTGCTACCTTCCTCCTGTCCTGGAGGAAACACAAGTCACGTCCTAGCCTTGGGGAAGAAATGACATCAACCTCCCCAAGCTCTCCTCATGGAGGTGCCTGCCCTGGCCAGGTACCAATGGAACTGTTTGCTGCACCCCAGCAGACCCCACCCAGACTACTTAATGGAGAAATGGGACTACAGCCCTTCTTCAGGAGAGGAATATACAGTTTATGGCCAGGCTTCCCTTCAAGCTTCCACTGAGGACTCCCATTTATTCAGAGAAAGTGCAGGCCCAAAACTCCATTGCAAGCTGAGACCCCCATCCTAGTGGCAAAAATTGCTGCCTCTCTCCATCCTCTGCAGATTGCAGAAGACCCTCTGGCACCTGGTTGGGCTGCGCGAAATTTCGCCACGTTTTGTTACGATGCTGTTTGACCTGTTTCAAGGTCGAAACAGCAAGATCGAACCAAAACAGATATGGCTGAAACAGCCTCGAAATGAAACTAGGCAAGTTGAAACATTTCGCAGTTTCGCCCATAGGCTATAATGGGGAAGGTCAAAACAGTCTATAACTTTGTCATTTCTGGCCTGATTTGGATAAAACTTGCAGAAATGGTAGCCCCTTCTGAGGGCATAAAGTGTGCCAAGTTTCAAGAAGATAGGTGCAGGGGGTTTGGAGAAACTGCACGCCAAAGTTTTGAGAGCCAAACTTGTGTTGTGTATGTGTTAAGCCACAGCAGGGTCAAAACTGCAGGGATTGTAGCCCCTGCTGAGGCCACAAAGCCTGCCATGTTTCAAGGAGATAGGTGCAAGGGGTTTGGAGAAACTGCACCCCAAAATCCTGAAAGCAAAACTCATGTCACATGTATATGTTGAGCCATGGCATGGTCAAAACTGCAGGCCTGCTAGCCCCTGCTGAGGCCATGAAGCCTGCCAGCTTTCAAGGAGATAAGTACAGGGACTTGGGGGAAACTGCACCTCAAGCTGTGGACAAGCAAAACTCGTGACATGGGTGACAGTGTGTGTTAAGGCACAGCAAAGTGAAAGCTGTAGGGATGGTGGTCCCTGCTGCGGCCACAAAGCCTGCCAGCTGTCAAGGAGATTGGTGCAGGGGGGTCTGGGTTCTGGGGCCCTGCACCTCTAGCTGCTGACAGGAAAAACTCATGACATTGGTGCTTGTGCAAGTGCCTGTCTCTGTCTTGGGGCAGTCGATTGTCTGTATTGATTATTTCCTCTCCTTAGTCTGTCTGTGGTTTTGTAGGTGTTAATCCATAGTTGTTAAGTCGTTATGTAGTAGCTAGGTACTGTGTATTGAACTGGTCCCTGAGTGAATCATGATTAACTGGTAACTGGTAACACAGCAGCTTAGCAGCCAGGCCTGCAGTAGTCCCCGCCCCCCCCTCCAGTGCCCCAAGACAGACACAGTTGCACAAGCACCCATGTCACAAGTTTTGCCTGTCCGCAGCTTGCAGTTTCCCCCAAACCCCTGCATTTATCTCCTTGAAACTTGGGCCACCACCCCTGCAGTTTTCAGCCCACTGCACCTTGACACACACAGGGTGATCTATGTCATGAGTACTGCCTGTCAGCAGCTTGAGGTTCAGTTCCCCTCAAATCCCTGCACCCATCACCTTGAAACTTGGCAGGGTTTGTCGCTTTGTGGCCTCACCAGTGGCTACCACCCCTATGGTTTTGACCCCACTGTAGCTTAACACATACATGTGACATGAGCTTTGCTTTCAAGAATTTGGGGTGCAGTTCCCCCCAAACCCCTGTATTTATCTTCTTGAAACTTGGCAGGCTTCATGGCCTCAGCAGAGGCTAGAAAGCCTGCAGTTGTGACCCCACTGTGTCTTAACACATACACGTGACACAAGTTTTGCTTTCAGGATTTTGGGGCGCAGTTTCTCCGAACAACATGCACCTATCTCCTTGAAACGTGGCAGGCTTTGTTGTCTCAGCAGGGGCCACCATCCCTGCAGTTTTGACCCTGCTGTGGCTCAATACGTACACATGACATGAGTTTTGTTCTCAAGATTTTGGGGTGCAGTTTCTCCAAACCACCTGCACCTACCTTCTTGAAACTCGGCAAGCAACATGCCCTCAAAATGGGCTTCCATTCCTGCAAGATTCATCCAAATCTGGCCACAAATGACAAAGTTATAGCCTGTTTCAACCTTCACAATTATATCCTATGGGCAAAACGTCGAAACAGGGTCAAAACAGTAAAATGTTTCGATGGAACGAAACAGAACAGCTGTTTTGACTCAAAATAAAAGTTGAAACGAAACACTGTTCTGTCAAAACGTCAAAACGCTGGTCGAAACGAAATGCTTCCTTTATGCACAGCCCTAGCTCCTGGCACTGCAGTAAAGTAATGGGGCCAACATCTGCTGTGCCCCCCAGCTCTCCACAGTCTCCAGTTGGCTGGTGAATGAAGCACAGGCTAAGCCAATCAGTCAAATAAGAGATGTCTGTAAGGTTTAATGGTAATGACTAGGAGCACAGCCAGTGT